TTGGGGGGGGGGGGGTGTACTCATAGTCGTGCATGCCGTAGTCGTTAGACCATTGACCTCGCATCCCTACAAAGCCGGGACGGAGCACGCCGGGTTCTCACCGGACCAGGCTCTCACATCACCAAGCGCGAAGCGCCGTGAGGTATTTGGCGAGTCGCATGAAGGGTGAGCTGCATCCTGCTAAGGGTGTTCGGCATCTTGTGCTTACTTCCTTGCGTACGGATGACAGCTACGTATGACTTAATTTATTTTCTGGTGCTTTCACTTCCAGAGACAGTTGTAAGCACTGTGTAACTGCCTCGAGGAAGCTTGACCATTTTAACACAACGTGGTGCGATCATCCCCCGTTGCGCGGAGTGAGGTTTCTCGACCCCGCACAACATGATCTACTCGACCACCATTATGGTTACCGCCAAAAAAAAAAACCGAGGTAAGAAAAAAAAAACGGTAACCTGGTTGCCGAGTTCACGAAGTGAATTGGCTTGTTTTACAACGTCGTTGCCAAGCGACGAAAACCCAATCCCGATGGCAAACACCGAGTGGGGGGCTTGTTTTACAACGTCGTTGCCAAGCGACGAAAACCCAAACCCCGATGGCAAACACCGGGGAGGGGGGGGGGGGGGATTTGGGGGGGGTGTACTCATAGTCGTGCATGCCGTAGTCGTTTGATAATATACTCCACGAACCCCCTTTTCCGGTTAAGGTGGCGTTGCTGCCTAAACAGCGGCAATTCGTTCGGTTCTCGTGATGTGCGGGGTGTTCTCGGCTGGGCTGTATGGCAAACGGTAATATTAGCACCCTTTTTTTTTGTTTTCGCCGACTGTCGTGTGCATGCATCCGTTTTTGTACGTGCTTTTTTGTGGTGCTCTGCAGGTTTTCTATGGGAGATGGCGGGGGGTAAGGTGACCGTTCAGTCACGTTGCGTGTTTGCTCGACCGTATGTACCAGCAGTCGAAAAAACACAACAACACCTCTTTGAGTGCCTGACCCAGGTTTTCACGTTGTTTTGGGTGCTACCATGACGACGGCCTGATGGCGTATGTATTTCTGTTGTATAGTCGTGCGGTACGCTATGATAGCTTCCCAGGAGGAAGCTCGGTGAATTTTGTTGTGGTGCTGGCGGTTGGGCTCTTGCGGGTTGAAGCGTTTCTTGTGTGTGTGTGTAATTCTGTGTGTTTCTTTGTGACAATGGGCCGAGCTGCCCAGCATACCCATGAAAAATGACGTCAGCCTTTGTTGCTGGAAAAAAAAAAAGCGGAAACGGTTTCGAAGCCGCGTGTTCCCTCGACAAGGGGGGGAGGGAGGGGGGCTGTAAATACCGGTCCAAAGAACGGTCCAGCGTCCCTCCGAGTCCGTGCGTGTTTCTGTGGTCAACGTCGATCGCCCTGCCCGGCTAGCCAATGAAAATGCGTCAGTCCAACAGTGGGGCAAAATCGCGAACACGCCATATAATAAGCGTGTGTGCGCATGTGTTTTTTGGATTAAGCATCGACAACGGTAGCCGTGTTTGTTTACTTAGCACCCACCGCGCAAACCGACAGACCATGAAGAAGACGTCAGCAAGAAACAACTTCTACACACTTGTCTGGACTAAAAAACACACGAACATCCAAAACATCTCGAACGGGAGTCTTGGCTGTGATTGTGATTGTACACTCTGTTCAACAAACGTGCACAGGCTTGCTTTCTAGTCCACGGGCGGGCGCACGCGAAAGCTCAGCGGAGGAGATCGGACGACGTCTCCTCAAGAGACTATACTAAATGCAGGAGAAAAACAAACACTACTGCTCTGTTTGTAGTCTAATTCCTTTGTCCACATGAACCCGCGCTAACCTCTTGACCTAGATCAAAAAGTTCAACCCTTTCTACGCCACGCAACACGAGTTCGAAACGGATCCCTTTGCTTCGAGTCAAGCACGAACAAATAGAATACGAGACGTTGAAAAAAAAGTTAATTGGGCGTACCCCTGGTCCTCCGTTGCCTAGATTGCGAGCGCCCCCGAAAAATCAGAACGTGTGCCCTAATACAGACCAATGTGGACGTCCGTATCACTGAAAGGTACACGGCAAACCCTTGACGGTGTTCTCTTGTCGCCTTGCGACGCACCTTTATCTATTGTCCGAAAGCACAAACAAGGCAGGGGGGCGGGGCGGAAGGCCACGATGCTCCGGTCAACTTTGTCACGCACGCTACTGTAGAGCTGAGATTAGTGCAGCCAATACCAGCTGATATTATGTCGGCCTTTCCTGAAACGGGCGACAGGGAATAACTGTCTAGCAATGTAACATTTTCATAGAAGAGCAGATGCCGGCAGCTGCAGAAACACTTTTGGAGACCTTGCAGGCATATCTAAGCTGACGCGCGCCCCCCCCGTGCTCCTTGCCGGTTCCTACTCTCCAATGCCGAGCAGCCGGCAAACGTCGTTGCACCGGTGGGTCTCGAAGAATTGGTTCATGCCGCTCCTGCCGAGGTCAGTTTTCCCGTAAACCTGGGTCCGTCCAGACTTGGACCTGTAGTGGATCACGGGGTCCGTGAACTCGAAAAATCCCGCGCGGTCCTCCCCTGCGCCGCTACTCGACAGCACTCCCTGCAGATCGCACACCAGCATCCGGCGGCGAGTCTGCCAGAACGAGAAATGAGAGAACGCCTGCGGGTAGCACTCCGCTTTGGGAACGAAAGAGCGTGACGACAAGCCGTGGTGTAGAGGGGCGTGGTCATGAGCGCGAGCGCCGTCGCCACCGTTAGCGTCGTCAGCGGTAGTAGCGGGCCGCGGACGTTTCCCCAAAATGGAACCGGTTGCGGCGGAGGCGGTGGCAGCGCCACCGCCGCCTTCGGCGCTAGCTTCGCCGCCCGCCACGGCTGCCGAAGAGCCTGCTGGTGTTCTGTCTTTTGAACGCGCGGTAGCCATGGCGCCACCGACTTCGGCGCCAGCTTCTTCAGTCGGACGGCAATCGTTGTCGCTGTCCACGCTGCTGGCGTCACCGTCCTCCTCGTCGCCCTCCACAATAACCTCCATCATCCCTTCCACTCGAACCTGCCGTGCCATCTCCCCCTCGCCTGGGGTGACCGGGGGGGGTCCAAACACGCTGCGCACGTACCCATTGTTCCCGTTCCACTTCGTGTAACGGCAAGCAGGCTCCAGCATCTTTTCGACCAACACACCGCGGAGAATCGACCCTTCTAAGAACTGGTACACGGAGCAGTCGATGAACGACACCTCCCAGATATGGGTGGTGGGTACCCCGAGGATGCTCGTGCGCTCCCGCACCCTCTCGTTGAACTTGGCCGCGAGAAGCTTCGAGGTGTGCTGCGTCTTGGCGAAGGACTCGTGAAAGGCCATCTTGAGGTTGTCGTCGTTCACGTAGCTGCTCTCCTTGGCGACCAGCTTCGGCCCGACAAACTTGCCGGTGCGAGAGCTCACTTCCTGCCAAATCAAGGACACACGGACGGGGATTGGTATTATCGTGAGAAACACTGGGTGGGGGGTTCGGTGGACGGTAAATTGAGTGCTGGAATGTGTGTGGTCAGTGCCAGGAGTAGTTGGACGAAAACTTCGGAGAAGCCATGGGTCATCGTACTCACCCCAAAGACAAGAATAATAACACGTGGCGCGGCTGCTGCATTGCCGACAATTTTGGATTGTGCGACGAGACTCTTGAGCTAACACTACGCAACAAAAGTCTTCTTGAACCATTCAAGGAAGGCCATGTCACGGGCTCCGTGTTCCAACAGGCACGGGCGGTGTTCGTACCGTCTCCTTTACATAAGGACTCTACCCTTTGATTCGGTTCATCACGGTGTATCGCCTGTTTGTGCAGCCTTTTGCACATAGCGTGGTTGTCTCTTCGTTGCCAATGATACATGTCTACTTGCAGCGAGCGGTCGGGGTGTCATTTGGTGAGAGAGAGAGAGAGAGAGAGAGAGTCGTCCATGCGGCCAGACCACCCCCACATGCTCGAAAGAGTGCCACGGCATAACTGAGGTGCCGGGAGGTACGGTGTAGGACAAAGCACGCGAAACGTCTGGCGTGGTTCGGGTGGATAGATTTGTCTCTTCTCTTTCTTTATCAAGCCCCTCTCACACGCCCGGGTCGGCGGAATCACACACAGAAGAACATCGATCAGCTTTGTGCGGGTGCGGGACAGCATCTTACGCTTGTTATTCTTGGTGGTAATTCTCCCGTGGTTCACCGATGGTCCCGTCAGCAAATGTCGTCTGCGATTGGACCGCCGGACATGAGCGAATCTTTCCTTTTGAAGGGACCTTCCTCGAAGGTCCCCTGGGGTAAGGTATTAATATTCATGGTTCGACGTATTTTTTCTTGTTTCTTGTTCGAAGCTTCGTTGGGCAAGTCTGTGACCACGGGAGTTTGCGTGTAGACGCAACCAACATGGTACTGGTTTCACCTTGCCGCACCCTTGCCACTGCGCCATGACCCGACCAGTACAGTACTATGAGAAACAACGCTCGCTCACAGAAGGCGGGCACAAGGAAACTGGGGCTTTACACACCTGCAATCCGAACACCAATCGCTCGGACCCCTCTCCCAGAGCCCGTTTCCGAAGGGCAATAGCGTTGGCCTCCTCAGAAAAGGGCTTGGCCGTGACCCAAGGGTCCTTGGAGAAGTGCATCCCTTTGCACGAGAACTCGAATCGCTGAACTTCGTCCGTGTACACCACCCAGCCGTCCCCCGTTTCTATCGTCGTAGGGTCGTGGCCCCACTTCGCCCCCGCAGATTCCCTCTCTACCTTCCGCAGCTCTCGCGACCGCCCGTCCTTCGTTGCCAAGCTCGTGAGCCTCGACTTGACAACCGTCAGGGACGACGAACTGCCAGCGAGAGCGGTGCCCAGGCCCTCTGCAGAGAGCTCCGGTCGGTAGAACTTCCCGTGCGCTCCTACGGCTTGGGCCGCGTCGGCCATGGCCTCGAGGACGGAAAAGTCCTGCTGTCTGTTAGCGAACCCGATCGTTGAGACCGAGAGCTGTTGGCCATAGCCCTCCGCCAGAGATCGCACCTGGTCCGCGATCGTCCTCATCGGAGAAGAAAGCCTGCGATCGCTAGGCCGGCCGTCGGAGAGGAACATCAGGGACAAGCCGCACCCGCCATGGACGTGCCTCTTGAGGAGCCCTTGCGCAGTATTCAGCGCCGGCAGGAACATGCCGTGCGACCGCGGCGTGTTTTGGTCGTGGAGGCCGACGAACTTGTTGTACAGGACCAGGCCCATAGGCTCCCTTTCGAACACAACCTTCGCTGAATCTCGCATCAGGATCAGCGAGACGGTGTCCCTGTCCGTGGCTTCCCCGGACAGCCTCTGCTTGGCCACGAAATCCATGGCTAACACTCCGAAGACGGCGTTGGAGCGGGTGCGGAAGTCCTCAACGTCGCACGTCCTCATGGATCCGGACTGGTCCACGACGATGACGGTGTGCGATGTGCACAAGGAAGGATCTGCCTTCAAGCGGCTTTTGGCGGCTTCATGGTCCCGGATGTGCTCCAGGGTTAAGTTGGCACGCGGAAGAGAGTTTGGTTTCGCGTAGCAGGTGATCTCCTTCGTGGATGTTTCATCGGTGATGTACACAATGTTCGCGTGGGTGTACCTCCACCGGCGGGCACCCGTAGCGCGGTCCGGCGCAGCCTGCTGCTTCTCACCGTACTTGACCGCCGATTGCAGGTCAATCCGGGCTATTCCACGGAGGGCGCGACGCTCCCTCCCGTGCAGGCTCGAGAAGAAAGGCATGTCGCTTGTGCCGGGGATCCCGTCCGGCTGAGGCGGCATGGCGGCTGTCGGCAGGCGGCTGCCAGAGGTTGCTCGCCCGTGGCGGGATGCTGATAGCCCCACTAGGGAAGCACGTCTTTCGGCTACCGGGTCTGCTGTCTCCTCTCGCGGTTGAAGAGGACCTGATTGCCAGCGATCCTACTGGGTGCACATGAAGACATCATGCACAAATAGAGCCAGAACAAAAAGAGAGCCAGTGCGAGCAGAGTGCCGAAGGATCAAAAACGAACAGAAACACATTTATTTTCAGATCCCACCCCGTGCGAAGCACCTTCTCATAATCATTAGAATAGAGCAGTGAAAGCATTTCCAGCAACAAGGAAGACATATTTGCACCCGCGCGCGTGGACGACCGAGGACACCAGAGCGCATGACGCAAGAGCACGAGACGTCAGGCGGGGTCAGGACTCTCTTTTCACGACGACTTGCAAGCAGTATTGTCAATAGAGGCACCCCATGGAAGGCAGCATGCCTGCTGGGAAAAGGAAAACGATTGAAAACGACGGAAACCGTTGTACTAGGTGACAGCTGCAATGGTGTTTGGAATACATCGCGCAAACGGAGGTCGGCCGTAGCCTACGCGCTGCAATTGCTGACTTGCTGACTTGCCTCCAGCCTCCAGCCTCCAGCCTCGAAAAAAAAAGAAGAAAAATTTAGTTCCGCCGCAGATCCTGACAGTCCCGCGGTGGAAGAAAACGCGCCACCTTTCTAATCGCATCTGGCATGAAAACGATCCCGCACGCCATCCGTGCGTATGTTAACAGAGCACGCTACAACCAAAAGAAAGCTCCTCGTGAAGCGACAGTTCAAAATCATTGAGCGGTATCTATTCTGCTTTGTTTCGCCGCATACACTAGGGAGGCGCGTACCGTGACAAGGTAGTCGCGGCATGCTCTGATCCCCGCCCACGTTGACCCAACGATCTATCTACTCCGTCGTCCTCTCAGGCCTTTCCGCTGGCACAAGGCTATACGGCTCTCACAACAGCAGCAGAGAAAGGAAGCACAAGGTCGCCATATGTTTCTTCATGTCTTCAGTCTTTATATCTTGACAGAAGTATGCAGTACAGATAGACGTCAAAATCGGGTCGAGCCTCAATCCCTTACTTTCGGTCAAAGGACCGGCATAAGTCGTCCATTTTCTTAAATGTCATTTCTTATTCCTTTGGACTGTCGCATCCTCCCGATTCTCTTTTCCTAGACGTACTTCGTATTTTCATATTTCTGTATTTTGATCTCTGAGGACAATCCACTGCATCAAGCCCTCGCGAGAGGCGGTGGAGAGTGCCGTCAAACCCGTAATACAGCGGAGTATGTATGTGGTTGTCCGCGATGTGTAGCAGTACTACAACAGTAGTACAGCACAGTGAACAGCAGGGGCGGGGGGGGGGGTACTCATAGTCGTGCATGCCGTAGTCGTTAGACCATTGGCCTCGCATCCCTACAAAGCCGGGACGGAGCACGCCGGGTTCTCACCGGACTAGGCTCTCACATCACCAAGCGCGAAGCGTCGTGAGGTATTCGGTGAGTCGCATGAGCGCTGCACCCTGCTAAGGGTGTTCGGCATCTTGTGCTTACTGCCTTGCGTACGGATGACAGCTGCGTATGACTAAATTTATTTTCCGGTGGTTTCACCTCCAAAGACAGTTATAAGCACTGTGTAACTGCCTCGGGGGTGCTTGACCAATTCAACACAACGTGGTGCGATCATCCCCTTTGCGCGGAGTGAGGGTTCTCCACCCCGCACAACATAATCAACTCGACCACCATTCATGGTTACCGCCCAAAACAAAAACAGAGGTAAAACAAAAGCGGTAACCTGGTTGCCGAGCTCACGAAGTGATCGGCTTGTTTTACAACATCGCTGCCAAGCGACGAAAACCCAACCCCGATGGCAAACATCGGGGGGGGGGGGGGGTTTGTCTTCCCTTATTTTTGGGCGCCCTAA